TTACTGCGGTGTCAGAGGAGAGCTACAGCAGCAAGTATCAGTCACTCTGGAAAGGCAGAGGAGCACCAATGCAGTAAGGAAAGGGAGCAGCGTGTCCCAGGCTAACTGCAGTGGGAGTCCATCTGAGCTCCCCCTTCCAGCATCCACAGATCCTTTTGTATGGATGACAGTAACTCCTCTATTACTCTATGGTTTTCAGAAATGGCCAATTTTATTCAGCACTGCAGTTACTTGGTCTACTACTTAACTTGATGCAGGATTCAGGTTACTGTCAGTACCACCTTGTTTTAATTCTTCCTAATAGAGGATACAGCAACAAATGCTTACAGGATGTACTGAGCAGCAGAAAGCTCTGCTGCAGTGAGTTGGAAGAGTTTTTTGCTGAGACAGGAAGATATATGTATCCTTTGGGGGCTCCCTTCTGCATCATTTCAGTGATCAGTTCTGCAGTTTGGGTTTGCAGCACTGCGCAGTGGTTTCTGGTTTAGCTCTGGGCAAGTGCTCCTGGAAGTTTCTTTTCGAGCAACTGTGGAGACCTTGTGTAAATGTATCCTGACTTGTGCAGAGCAGCTCAGAGAGTTCAGTGTAAATCCAGTGTCACTCTGTTTAATCGAAACCCCAGTTTACTGTCAGAGATGCTGTTGAGAGCCTGTTGCAATGCTTTGCTGCTCTGTTCCAGCAGAACCAGAGTGCTGAGCCCTTGCTCCAAATTATAAGCCGCATAGGAGTAAACTCAGTTTAAGAAGCTCCTCTCTTACTTACTTTACCTAATTATTCCTTGCAGATTAGCACATTTTCAGTTATACAGATTAAGCTGATTAAGCCACACTCCAAATTGCATATGGATGAACCAGACAAGAATAAATCCAAAGAGAAGAGCTGGAGAGCTGAAACCAGCTTGCTCCCAGCAGGTGTGCTCATGTCCAGCCCCACAGCACTAGGGAGCCTGTGGTAGGTACCAAGGATGCCCATCTTCAGCTCCTGGCTGCTGCATGCTCCATGTGGGTATAGAGCATGACCACATCCAGCCACCACCCTCTGTTCCTTCACTGTAAGGACACTCTCTGAAGCAAGACATATGGAGGATGAACAGTGAGGGCCGAGCTGAATCCCCTCCATATTCCCACCCATACAGCTCTTCTTCCTCTTCTTCTCCATAAGCTGTCCCCCTAATTAAGCCATCAGCACTCAATATCCAGAGACTTGTATGGGGCAGACCAGCTCAACTCTGCCAGCAGCTGGTAGACTGGATGATGTGGATTAGTGAGGACCACTGACTTTCACATGGCACAAACATAAACGAGTCAACAGACAGGTCTTCGAGCACTTAAAATACAGTCTGCAAAGAAAATGTGACTCAACCTTAATTACACTGGAGTTACCTCTTCACTGTAATTTATCATTCACTTATAGTCATGCAGATAAGGTATTTAAGTAATAAAAAGTCTGGTGTACTGGAAAGCCAGATGCTAGCAAGGCAACTTAAACAGCAGGTGCTCCAAGAGCTTGTGAAAGACTAGGTGAAATGTCAAATAGCTTGACTTTCCTTTTTTGCAACAAATTCAGTAGTGTTTTGTTCAAGCAGCCTTAGTGGCTGACACATGACAGTCCAAAGCAAAGAGTTTAAGCTTTCGTTATTTACAGTGACATGAGGCTCTTCAGGGAAGTAAATACTATGTGAAACAGGCCAAATTCAAACTTGTACTTAATCATCTCCTGATGTATTTAAAAGCAACATATTGAATGTGACAGTGGCATAAAGCAGAGATTGGAAAAGCACGGGCTGTCATGGACGAGCTTTGGTGACTCACGCCTCTGCAGCTTAAGAAGTGCTGAGGCATGGATCCAGGCTGCACTTCATTAGCTCTTCCCTTGGAAGCCACCTCTGGCAGGACCAACAACTGAGAAGGCCGAACACCGCCCCTGCTCCAGTCCAAATCTTGCATTTTAGTGAAACCAACAAAGCGACAGAAGGGACAGGATCTCCAGACTGCATCACATAGGAAAAAAATCCCCGAACCAGCAATTCAAGTAAAGCAATAGACACCCTTGTGGGAATAATGAAAAATCAGCTCTACAGCACCAGGGGAACACGAGATAGAAATGTCATTTCCACATTTGGGCAAGTACAGAGATGGGCCAAATTCCACAGGCTTCATTTGCTGACTAGTCTACTAGATGAGTGGTAAGGGAATAAACTAGATTTGTTTCCAACTGCAGCAGCCAGTCCTGAAAAGAGAACACGTTTGAGCTTGACCACTTAGCACATTGTAAGCTTTGTACTGAGACATGTCTCCAAGCCACAGAGATTTTAACATTTGGGCAAGTACAGAGATGGGCCAAATTCCACAGGCTTCATTTGCTGACTAGTCTACTAGATGAGTGGTAAGGGAATAAACTAGATTTGTTTCCAACTGCAGCAGCCAGTCCTGAAAAGAGAACACGTTTGAGCTTGACCACTTAGCACATTGTAAGCTTTGTACTGAGACATGTCTCCAAAGCCACAGAGATTTTAGTGGCTGTACTGGAATATGTACTGGCTTTAACAGGAAAACCATACAGAAAAGAAGATGCATGAAACATGGAAACAGTGCAGATTTGTCTGTCAACACAGTGTATTTAAGGTTCAGACAAAGTCTTAAAAATCTGGGATATGCATGGCTCAGCATTACGTCTCAAATGCTTGCTGAGAATGAACCAAGCACTTTACTGTCACAGGAACAACTTGCTGGATGGGTACAGTTCTGTAATGTGGAAGTGTAAGGTAGAGTTAAAAATGAATGGCAGTCAAAAGTTCAAACCCCAGTGACCTCATTGTGTGATTATGTGGCATTCACAAAGTGCCTGCGGGCTGCATAAACTTCAATTAAAAAATAACCTGGCATAAGTATCTTTGATACCAAGCTACCTCCACACTGAGATAAGCATGCTGTAAAGGAGGAGGAAACAAGCAATGCAGCCTTCCAAAGAAATGGCAAGGAGAAACCATACCACTTCGTTGTAGCCTTAGAGTTGTGTATGGGATGAGGAGCAGATGTGGAAAAACAGAGAGGACAGAGTTTTTACCCCTTGCATAGTAAGACAGAAGTAAACCCTGTCCTGCACAGCTCCTGCTTCCAATCCACAGCTAACAGATTCAAACTTTGGGAGTTTGAATCTGAAACGACATCTGGATGCAGCTGCACCATGCGGGTGGCTACAGTTGTTTTTCCATACACAGGGGCTCCAGGCAGTGCTCACAGCAGAGGGATGGGGATACAGTCCCTCACTGCTCCCCAACAGCCAAGGAGTCCGTCCCCTGGCCACCATTTCCTTCATCTCCTGCAGGGCTCCATCCCACATCAGAGCCTGACCACCACACAGACTGCCACCAGTGCGTACTCCGTATTTCAGACAACAGAAGTGGGCACTAAAAGGCACTCAAAATTAACCTACAATACATTATAATATAAAGAGAACTTTAAATTGCATGTTAGATAATAACACAATGTGGTGTTAAAACTGAAACTGCAGTAACTTTTATCCACCCAGTGTACACATTCATTTAAAAACTGTCCTGGTTTGTTGGAGCCAAAGGGAGGGACCAGCTCAACTTCCCTTGAGTCATGATCGCAGATCACCACTAGATGGTAGATGAGTAGCATTAATTCGTACCTCCCATTTTGTTCCTGAGAAATATAACTGATACACATCCACACTAGGGCTCTCGCCTCTTTCAGAGGTGTGAAAGCATGTCCTTGCACACATTCTTAAGTGAGTTTCGAAAAAGAGGGATCGCAGGGGCAATTCTGGGACTCCAGAAGCGGAATAACTTCAAAGCCCCAACATTATACATACTGGGTTTATTTTTCCAATCTTGCCATAGCTGCAAGCACTACAGTAAACAGACTCGCTTTTCTCCAGCAGGACAATATTGATAAGCTCTGTAACCATTTACGGTTAGTCTGCAAAAACCATGTGAGGCTTTTAAAAGTAAGACAGCTTCACAGACTTTGTGTACCCCGTTTGTAAGGTGTAAAATACTTCTAGTCAAACTGAGGTGACCCAAAGATGTCAGCTTTGTTCTGTAAATGTTTTTTTTGCCCCAGTGTATTTTTCCCAATGAGTAGCAAATACCTCTCTGCTGCCTCACCCCAAAATCCACATTACTGCACATCGCTGGGGCTCAGTGACCACACTGTTTCAGATGGGTGCAGGATATGTCTGACAGCTTTTCACCAACACTGCCAAATTATTACAGCTGCTCTAGGGCCAGCTTACACTGTGCTTTAGGTAAGGGCACAGGGTTATTACATGACCCTACCTCAGAGGTGCTCCAACCTCTTCCCACTCATGTACTGAGACTATAAAATGATGCATTAGGTGCAGTGAAATGCTGGTGTCTTCACCAAACATTAGTAGCAACACATTTAGCCCAGCATCTAAAGTACCACTGTTTGAAACTTGCAGGCATATAAATAACCAAATGGCTCACCCTCAGCATAGTCATCACTGCCCAGTGAAAACATTGGATACGCCTCAATGCTTAGACCTCTCTACGCCACACTGCTCTACAAATATTACCATGTTCTTCAAGACTTCCTCAGCCAAAGTTATTTGCGCTTAATCAACGCTACTTCAAAACACAGACACTTCAGAGACCTTTCAGCTTGGAAGGAAACACAGCCTGACCCTGCTCAGGCTGGTAAAATCCGACAAGCCCACATGACAAGGTGGTGTATCTGCAAGATGCAATAAACTGCCCTTGAAAACAAACATGAATGGCTTTGCTGCCAAAACTTTCTTTGATATTAATGCACAAATTAAAAATAATTTGACATTAGCATCCAAAGAGAATATATTAAAGGAAATAATTGCTGTCAGCATATTTTAGCAATAACAAGCTGCAATAGGTATTAGTAGTCAGGTTATATTGCATTGTTTGCATTGTTTTGCATTAATAAAGACAAAACCTGATAGATACATACACAGCTTCTAAAGGATTTTGCATTCTTTCTTACCTCTTCTTTTTTCTCTTCAGCACCAGAAGTTAAATTGAGACTCAGCTGAGAGTGGCTGCTTATGCCACTGTCTTCATTTCCATCATCATAGTATACGGTTTGCACCGAGTCCTGGAAGCAAACAGGATTCCTGCCCAGCTTCAGCCCAGGTACCTCGACTCTCTCCTCACTCTCCGATGAGCTCAGTGACAATGTGCTGTGATGGTCTGGGCATTGTAAATTCATATTGCACTTGACCTTCTCTACAGTAGGACTTTGAGGCTTTGGAGTGGTCGGCCTGACCGGAACATGAGTGTTTTCAGCTTTGTATGTAAACTGCTGGGTAGCTTTTGGTTCATCCGAGTCTGAATAGAACACTTCACTGGGAAATGGACTAATGTCATTCAGTGTGGGTGATACGCTGTCAGAGTCTGGGACACCTGATGACGTACCGAGGCTTTTGTCTTCAGAAACAGCTACATTCATTTCAACCTTTTTTTCCTGAGCAACTGCAGGGCTTTGTAGACAAGGTGTTCCTGGCAAGGAAGTGTCTGGACTAGATACCGGGGAGGTGCATCTCTTTCTGTCATGATCTGTGCTGCTGGAAACCCTGCGGGAGTAGTCATCGTGCAGTCTGCTGTTTGACCTTGTTCTCTGGGACTGCTCAGTGGGAGAAGGAGCTGTGCTCTTAGGGCCATCCTTCTTCCATGCAACATCTGAAACGTTACTGACCAGTTTCAAAACTCGGTCAAAATCCTTTGCCCTGATAGGGCTCTTCCACCGCTTGGATCTCCTCTCAGGATTCCCACAGGTTTTGTCCGAGTCAGCAGAAGTATCACTCACAGTCCTGCTTGGCATCTGTTTCTCATTTGCTACCTTGAGGTCGGTAAGGTTTGAGGTGGACTTCCGTTTGAATGAGCTTTTTTTCAGAAAGTTCAAATTATCCGAACTTTTGCTTCTCCGATAAATGACCCTGTTGTTTTCAGAGTCTTTCACCAAGATTTCACAGATCTTTGGCTCTGCGATAACAGGCGATGTTGGCCTTGTACAGTTGTGATGACTCGGAACTTTATCCGTGTCTAGCAAGTTTATGCGGCCAGCACCATAAGCCCGCCGGATGCTGCGTGAGCGGTGAGTGTTCCTCAGAAAAGACTCATCGCTCTCCTCTGCATCAGAGCAGTCAGAACCTAAACCATCCACCTCGTTCTGGAAATCCTGCAGAGGCCCCGAATAGGAATACCTGTTAGTCTGAACTTGCACCACCGCCCCGTTTGAACCTTGTTTGCCTATGCCATTCTCATTTAAGATGTCTGAGCATTCCCTTGTTTGAATTCCTTGGAGAACTGAAGATTTCAACTTCTTGAAAGATCCCATTTTTCTGATGGAAGACAAAGCATTCCATGTGGCTGTGTTGCCCATCAAAACCAGAGAACGAGGCCTGTCAGAGCTGGAGTTCGCCCTTTTCCGAGGGGTGGTGAAAAAGCGCATGATTTTGGAAGGACTGAGTTTATCCTCTTGAATTTCCTCCTCATGATTGTTGCTGGTGCTGTACCCCCCATTATGACTGACACAGGTAGTTTTGTTTTGGGGCTCTTTATTCTCCATAACTATACAAGTAATGGTGGTGCCATTTCCGCAACCATTTGGAAACGTTGTCATTCTCTCGACACTGTATGTGTGGAGATGGAGGCTGGGGTAGCTCAAAGCAGTGACACTGCCATCTTCACCAGCTGACCTCGCTGCGTCTCCGTCATCTGCTGCACCTTGGTTTGTCTTACTTTCACATCGGCTGGGTGAGCTGAGCCCCTCAGGCTGCACTGCCTGCACCAGGAAAACAAAAGCAACTGTTAGAGAAATCTCCTCACAAAGTCCCCAACTAAAGGAAGCTTGAACCCCATTGTAGGAAATAAAGGCACACACGAAATAAAGCAGTTCTTTTTCGCTGAACAAAGGTGTGTTGCAGTGGTGAGAAGGCATTCATAACTCCCACAAAGTATTATTGCATTCATTAGCAATTTAAGAGACCGGAATAATTTCAATATGTACTTGTCCTCTACAATGCTTAATAAGCAAATAAATTCTGAATGACTACCACACCTACCTTACAACACTAAATACAATTCACAGACACACTTAAAGAAACCCCCAACAAAAGCAATCGAGTCTTCCTCCTTATGGTACTCAGCACTGAGCCCCAAGACACGAGTTTTCACCCAAAAAACTGAGCACATCCATCAAGTGTCACCTAATCCTCAACCACCAGGCAAAGAAGAGGAAAATGTAAGTATTTTTTCCTACACTTGCTGCTGTCAAAGGCTGCATGACACTCGACAGTCTTGTCTGTGCCCTAGCAGGTAAACCTAAGAGTTACATCAAGTGCACAGGGAAGTGTTTTTCCCAGCCAAAGAAAACAAAATTCAGAAGTACATAAAGCCAGAAGCCAGCCTATGCTGTCATGACAGCACAATGAAAACAAATTTGGAATTGACCAGAGTCTCTGTGACAGGGACACGCTGTGTAAGGGATCTCCCTCTGAGCTGAGCCTGGGAGTAAGCCCCTCTGGTGTGGGGGGACCCCCAGCCATGTGGCTCCTGCCTCGGCCAAAGGTCTCTGCCAGGCAGGCAGGTGCTTTCACCACCATGCTGCACAACACACGGAAACCACTTAGTCCAACAACACACAGGGATGCCCAGTCCAAAGCTGGCACCGTCTTAAAAACGAAGGTTCTCTCTGCAAGGGCCAGTGGGATCCTCACAAATCTGCCATCGCCGGGGGAAGGAGGCGAGGGATATCCCACCCGCCTCCGAAATGAGGAAAACGTACAGTTCTGCTTGATGAAGGGAGGTAGCCCCGGCCCTTCTTTGTCTTCTTCCACCCAAGCGGCCGCGGGGGCTCCGAGGGCCAGCGGGGAGTGGCGGGTGGCCCCCGGCAAGCGTGGG